GAGTGATTTTGATGATGTGCATTTCATTGTTCGATGGTGTCTTAGGCATCAAGTGATTTTGATGGATCATCAGGCCATGTTTGGAGCGGGCACTGGCACATCGTGTCTAGCTCTAGAGCTCGCCATGGCTAAGCTCAAGAGAAAACTACATGCCATGGCAAAGCTAGAAAACAACCTCAATATCTCTGTCCTTATATTGTTTGAGTTCTTTCATACGGTTCGTTGATGTCGTACACTACCGGAAACCGGCACTTTGCCGAGTGCCTACGGCACTCGGCAAAGCCCGAAATACACTCGGTAAAGGCTCGTTATCTATCATCATATATTATACTAAACCGAGAGTAAATTACTTGTTTAAGTCCTAAACGAATTCAAATCAAAAAGTGGTCAACTACAAAGTTTCATAACTTTTCGAGATCTACAATTTTCATTTAGGAAGTTTTTCCATCCGAGTTCGTTTGAAAAATTTGAATTTCAAACTTGAGAGATTCAAACGTAGTTTTGCATGATAAGATGATTTCAAATCAAAAAGTTGACAACTACATAGTTTCATAACTTTTAGAGATCTACAATTTTTATTTAGGAAGTTTTTCCATCCGAGGTCTTTTGAAAAATTCAAATTTTAAAATTTTCAAATTCAAACGTCGTTTTTGCATGACAAGATGATTTCAAATCAAAATGTTGTCAACTACAAAATTTCATAACTTCTCAAGATCTACAAAGTTTATTTTGATCATTTGTTCATCCGACATAGTGGTAGTAACATTGTTCACAAATCTTATATATCTCTCTTCTACTTTCATGAAACTAATATGAGAGATATGTAGATTTTATGAACAACGTTATTGTCCCTTTGTCAAATAAAGAAATAACCAAAATAAACTTTGTAGATCTTGAGAAGTTATACAACTTTGTAGTTGAAAAGTTTTTCATTTGAATACATTTAGGGCCTCAAAAATTGCTTTGAAAAAAATGATTTGCTGAGGGCAAAAAAAAATGCACACGGCAAAATGCCTCTTTGCCGAGTGCCAAAAGAAAGGCACTCGGCAAGGACGTATTTTGCCGAGTGCCAAAAAATGACACTCGGCAAAATACATCTTTGTCGAGTGCCAGAAAAAAGGTACTCGACAAAGACGCATTTTGCCGAGTGCTAAAAAATGGCACTCGGTAAAGACGCATTTTGCCGAGTGCCGAAAAATGGCACTCGGCAAAATACATCTTTGCCGAGTGCCAAAAAAAATACTCGGCAAAGCCATCTTTGTCGAGTGCTTTTTTTTTTTTTGCCGAGCGTATTTTACTTGGCACTCAGCAAAGACCGTCTTTGCTGAGTGCCCGATAAAATACACTTAGTAAAGCCTCCGGCACTCGGCAAAATGCCGGTTTCCAGTAGTGGTAGGTATTGGGTAATTTTAATGGATCATCAGGCAATTATGTTTGGCGCGGGCACTGACAGTTGTATCTGGGTACTAGAGCCCGTCATGGCTGAGCTAAACGAAAGCCACGTCATGGCAAAGCTACAAGATGAGGTCAGGAGGTTAGTCGAGGGATGAGAAATGAAGATAACTCGACATTGGGTTATCAAAAAGAACCTCCTCATTCTGCAGTTTCTCACGAGCGACGAATTGTTTAGGGTCTGTTCGGTTCTTTGGGAATGGACCCAGAAACAATTCCAGCTTCTTAAGACTATACAAAGTATAAGGAATTGTTCCAGGACCTCCTTCCTAAGCAACCGAGCAAGCCCTTGTTCTCTGAGGCCGGATCCTAAGTCTGAGACCGGGCATTTAACTTTTTTGGGATATGGTCAATCTCCATTATGTATAAGGTCGCTCTTAAAACTACCACCTGGGCCTTAAGGTCGATAACACTCCGGATGCCCTATACTACACTGGCAACGACATAACGTGCACTGTTGGAGCCACCACCCAGCAACCCCATGCTGCTGCCCGGGCTCATCGGTAAAGCGCAAAGGAAAATTTTCTTTATCTTGTAGAGAAAACCCCACTACCGTATTTCTTTGCGATTTCAGAGAGCCACGTAATCTAGGGGCCCACAAACACAAGTTAATGTGCAGTTGAAGCTGAAGTGTCCCGTGATTCCATCGATCTCCTGGATGTCAAGAGGCTGGCCAACCTCGCCGTCATTTCAGCCATGCGAAGAGACGTCCAAATATCTTCTAGAAAACAAATCAGTAGAGAGGGAATAAAGTAGAAACGCATGCATGATCAAATGGATGAACAACTCAGGTGCCAATAGATTAAACAATCAATTCGACCCTACGGCTTCTGATCCAACGCGTCCCGGACTACCAATCCAATATAAACGACGTCCACTGATATGCTGCGTGGCTATGGAGAGGCATGGGGTCTAACGATATGTATGACCCTATATTCAGCCTTTCGTTTTTTTCTCAGGGAATACTTCGGCGAGCACCGTCAACACATGCAGGATCTCCAAATCCTTTGCGTCCTCGGCTTCTCCATGGGAAGCAGCAGGTGCTTTGGTTTGGGGAACAAGCTCGATCAGTGTTGCTGCCAGTCGGCGATGGTCGCTTATATTGGATGCCATCGAGTTGGCCGGTGGTGACGAGTCCGATCCGCTACCGCCAGGTTCGCCACCATGGAGCTCCTCCCTGCTCGGCCCCATGGCGGACACCGAGGCGGCATTTCCTTGGTCATCGCGGGACATTCTTGAGATCGTCTCCTCCCATATCATGTCTTTGCTGGCCACATCATATGGGAAGTATATGTGTCGTATGTTAGATGGTAAGTATCCATGTCGTACGATAAATATTGGTGTCACCGTACCTCTGCTGCTTTTTAGGCCCTGTTCGGCAGGATGTGTGCTTGATTGTATGGCTGATTTGTATATGATTTGTTATGACTTGTGAGAGAAAAACACTGTTCCCATGGCTAAAAAGTAGAGCTGATTCTGGCTGATAAGCTCAAGCGAAACAGGGCCTTAATTACTCCATTTCATCACGCGTTGAGAGCCTCTCTCCTGCTTTCTAATTACTCCATTTCATCGGGCGTTGAGACTTGAGAGAACACTAATGCTGCTTTTTCCCACAACCACATGCAGGACATTCTCAACAATGCATGCAACCTTCCCACCAGCACTGCATAAGTAGTTAGTACAATAAGAAATCTCATTGTTACTCCTATCATAGTGATCCAGTAATGTATCCTCATGACTATGACAGATCTCTTTTGGTTGGATTTTGTTTATTTCCATACCATACAAAACTATTATTATTATATATTTCTTATAAATACTTACTTTGAAATTAGTTAAACTATAATTGTTGAGACTTCTACATCAATCTATAGAAACTTTCCACAAATCGTCCTTTATGAGGGGTATCATCTAGTTTTTTTAACATGCACGCTGGTACGGTGGCGGCCGGCCTTCAAGTGGCCCGACAGATGAGACGATGCTGTGACTGCGGAGAGGACGATATAGACCCAAATGAGAGGCTAGAGCATCGTCGGAGGAAATATAGAAAGGAAAAGAGTCTTTATTTGATGGTCCAACAACAGGGAAAAGGTGTATCTCAGCATCTTCTTTCCTGGACTGTATTGGCTTTGGCTCAGCTGACCATCCAATGCATTATGCCTGTATCTGGTATCTCTATGGACCATTTGGTCCTCCCATTTCAACGTTCCTATGGTTTTGAACACAAGAAAAGGCTCTACCATGTCACATTTGTGTTGCAGCTATTCACGTTTTAAGTATTGCATATACCTCATGTACTGATACGGTGATACCTCATACAGGACGAGGAATCCGAATCCCCAAAGCCAAGAGTAACATAGCAAAGGAAGCAGAGTACCTAGCTCAGCTCAGCTCCAGCAAAGAGGACGGTAGTATCATCCACATCCATGGATGGTCACCACTGCTGTTCCATTAAGCAGACAGCGCGCATCGGATTAATTAAAGACCCAACTGGCAAGTATTCGAGAGAGAGAGAAAAAAAAGACCAACTGGCAAGCAGGACCGATGGCGACTTTAATCACAAACACACACAGATTCTTCTGCTGCCTGCCTTAAACAAGACCAAAGGTTCCTCGCACTACCTTTGGTGAGTCTGGCGTTTTTTAGCAGCCAACCCCACTAGAGAAATTCACAGCAGTAAGTTACCACCCTGTGAATTGTGATGGCAATTGGCTGGACCTGGATAACCTCGAGTCCCAGGCAAACCCAAACAATATGGGCATCCATCCATTACTGTGACGTGCCTCATTCAGCAGAGCACTGACCCAACAGAGAAGAATAGTGTGCCGGCCGGCCTTCAAGTGGCCCGACAGATGAGCCGCTAAGAGGACGACCGGACCGACTCATTCACTGCTCGTTTGAACCAACATGTCCAAAATCTGGCAAGATGGCTGTCATGGCCAACAACATCCTTTGTCGCTGCGCAACCACACGACTCTCCACCAAACAATCTGCGCACAAGTCCGATCCTACTTTCAACAATGATTTCTAGCAAGCATCTTCAGTCTATAGTAAGGGTAGAAACACCAAATTCCCTTAATAATATTACAAAGAAAAATACGCCACCCTATATGATCACACCACACAATTTTTGACGCATCTGATTTTCCGGCAACGCCCATAAGATCCTGCCACAACAGAAATTAAACAAGCAGGAAAGATAGAGCAAGCAAGAAATCACACACCAGAGTCCAGGTTTACTAATCCTTCTCTTTTTTTTCTTTCATAATAGTGTCATTAAAACGAAGACATCTTATAGTCCCTTCTTTTCCACAAAAGAAACCACCACCATCAGAACGCTGCCTGCAAAACTAGCTTTTCACCCAACGAAACTAGAACCTAACTATTCATCTTTTTCTTTTCTTTTTTTGATGACATATAGAAGCTAGGAATCACCAACCAAGACAGGCATTCTACCAAAAGAAAGGAAAATAGAAGCCTTGAGCACCAAAGATTATAACCCAGAAGGGCAAAAATTGTGAAGCCAAAACAAAAGCTCCTGCTGGCCACTAGACGTCACAACTGTCAACCCGGACCGGCATCGAGCCGATTGTCACCACACCAACTGTGTTAGTCTTACGGTCAGCCTCCACTGCCTTGGAACCGATTTTGAGGGAACTAAGTTTGGCAGTGACCCTCTGCTCCACGCCACCCTGTGGAACTGCACTCGCAGAGCCGCTGACTCCATTTAGCCGCTTCTCCACACCAACTGTGCTAGTTTTATGGTCAGCCTCCACTGCCTTGGAACTGATCTTGAGAGAACCAAGTTTGGCAAAGACCCTCTGCTCCTCACCACCCTCTGGAACTGCACTCGCAGTGCCGCTAACTCCATTTAGCCGCTTTTCAGGTGCTTTCAGTGAGCCCTGGGCAGCACCGCTGTCTGCATGCTGCTTTGGATTTTCACCTTCTTCCAGTACTGCTGTTTCCCTCTGCACCTGCCTTCAAGCTTGAAGCTGGTGGATGGTTAGTTACAGTTTTCGCTGCATCCTCTTGGCTCTGATTGCCACTGCAATGACTTTCCTGTACTCCATTCTCTTTCTCAGCCTCACTGGCCTGCTTTTCACAGACGCACGGTTCCTGAGGTTTGATGATCGCCTTAGCATCATGCGGCTTCTCGGCCACATTTTGTATCTCAGATGTTCTGTCTACCAGCACGCTGCTGGATTTTGTCTGCTGAGTGTCAGAAGCATCTTTTGTACGCTGTGAGACAGGTACAAAATCTGGAGCATTGTAACTCAGCTTGCACCTTCTGTGTGTCTTCTTTTTGCCTCTTCTGCCTCATATCTCATAAAATCATCAAACAGGCAGAACCTCGCTTTGATGCCTTTGAAGATCTCGATCATAGATATTCCAGGAAGGTATGGTATCTGCAAATGAGACATTGCGACAGATCATGACATCAGACCTCCACATTCATACGAGAGCCAAGTTATTACAGCAGCTGACTACGGAGATGCTCAAGATAAATAAACTACTTACTGAAATCAAACAATTTAACAGTACTAAAACAAATTCAATGCAAAACAGGACATGCCACACTTACTTCCTGTGTATCTCTGCTGTGTGTCACAGGCTTGTTTTCATTATTCTGCAGTGTGATATGCTGCAAAGAACAATTTTGTATATCTTTAACGACATGCCATCTCACAGGAAAGCATCCGGTCCATTTATCCTGACACCAGAAGTCCATGTCCTTGTGAAAATCAACAGGTCCAACCATCTCAGCCATGCCACAGAAGTGCCCACTACCATTGACCTGATAAACATAATAAAAAAAATTCAATTGTTGAACTTTGAACACAAAATTTTATGGATGTTCAATAAATCAATACTCACAGAGAAGAACAAGAAAACTGGACATTTAGTAGAATGCCTCCTTGATATCCTGTCAGCATCCCTGAATGCACTATCTAGCTTGCTGTTTCCATTGGACGAACTTGACCATACCCCATACTTTATCGATTTGTGCACATCTGCCTCACCAATTGACTTGATAACAAAGAACTTTGCATACGTGATAGTCGATTCGGAGATCATCTCTGTTGTACTGGTCGGTTCTTATAATGATTGTCCCATCCGGATTACCAACAGGGAGCCTTGATGTGTAAGATTTCACAATTATGGCAGAGCTCTGATTGCTTGGTTTCTCAGAATCAACTAAGCTATGCACTTTTTGGCCAGTACCATTCAGATGACCACTTGACTTTGAAGATGGCTGGAATTTCTCAAGGCAGCCCACTTCTGAAGATCAGATCCAGCAGCACATCCAAGGCAATTGTTTCCAGACAAATGTGCCGATACCTGCCATAAACAAGACATGTCAGTTGGGGACAGATGACACACAGGTTACTACAAGTAAAACATGCTATACTGAAAACAAGCAATAAAAAATCAGTACAATATTTATATAACATGCATCGGCTTCATTACTATAGAAGCAAACTACAGTTTGCTAAAGAACCCCTGAACTAAATTAAGACCCACAGTACAGCATAGAAATAGGAAAAGCTCAGACAAGGTCAACTTAACTCCCTTTGGGTTTAGATAAAACAAGGCCCCCACATAATCATGTCCTGATGTCCAAAACATTCACAGATGGAATGTGTTTATAAGTTCAGAGTTCATTTAGCTAAAAGTAATCCAAAAACAAAAAGGCAATGCCCCATATAAGTTACTGAAAGTTAACTTCTGAACAACTTCCAAAACTTAGGTTCCTTGCTAAAGGCGTTTTAATGAACTACCAGTACCCTGCCTGAAGCAATCCTGGAAAAAACTTCAGCATGAAGACGAGACATCCAGTGGTGTGATACATTGAGTGAATGAAGTTACCTAATAAACATTCCACTAAAAAGTTAACTTTGATTATAATGGTGTGAACATGTTCATGAGGGACAAGATTATCTTGTGGAGGAGGCACAATACAGGCCCTACCCGAAAAGGCGAATCTTACAGTGGTTAAGGAAAGTTAATAATTCCCTCTATAGATAAGAATTAATCACAAATACACTGCAACTTGACAAAAGAAATGTCGATCAGTAATAGCTTATAAATTTGCCTACCTGAGAAGTATGAGGGAGTTTAGCAGGCACCATGCATCTATCTGGCAGCTCTTGCTTCTGTGGAACCGAATTGTGCAGTTGAACCTTTGGCAGCTTTGCATGGTCCTGGAACTGCTTTGAAGGTACAATAGAAGAGTGTACAGGTGGATGCATAACAATGTCGCTTTTTGTGGTAACGGGAGCAATTAAAGGAAATGCTGCATTCGCAGATGTTGCAGCATAACCTGGTATTCCAGGAAGAAATGCAACATTGGAGGAGTGAAGAGGTGTGGTTGCGCTTCCCGGGACACCATCTTGTGCATAAGGAAGAACAGCTGGAATGTAATAGGATGTCGGGGCTATTTGGCATGTGGAGTTAGCAGGGTCAGCAACATACTCCTGAGGCATAAATGGGCCGTCGGGTACGAAAGAAGGATCAGAAGGGTAAGGACTGTAGGTAGGATGCATAGATCCACTGTCTGGGGCAGCATAGTATACGCATTGCATGCCTTCAGCCTGCAAACAACCCGAAAGGAATGAACATATTAAAACACGTGACTGTAAAGGGCACCAATTAAGTATCAAAGTCTTTTATTTGTATATACTAACCGGATAGTAAATATCTTGGCCATCATATCCTAAAGAGCTCGGGTGGTTATACCATTCCATCGGTGATCCAACTTCTGCATTTGACAAATTGGTTACCATCAAATGAAATACTGAAAGGCGGCAAGCACCAATGACAGGCATAATACAAAGATAGGACATTTCCTTTTACCTGCATAACCATATTGGTACGGATTTGCAGTAGTAGGAACAAAAACATTTTGTCCATACATTACTTCAGGAGTCATTCCCATCTCCATGCAATTCACACTTCTGAACAAGCACCTTGCTCTACTCCAATGTTCAGAGTCAGCTGGAATTAAAAGTGATAGGGCTGTTATTGACAAATTAAATATGTCATTCCATGCAAAAAATAGATAAATACAAATGAAGGTCTGATCACTAAAAGCATAGCAAGGTGTGCTGCATCACATCATTGTTCATAACCATTTTGCATGAATGCTCAACAAGCAATGGGAAGAGACACACATACAATGAATAGCAGACTAGTAGTATAGTATAGAAAGATGCGACACAAAAGAATAAGTAAAGCATATGTAGTAGATTATATATGGAAGTCACCGGAAACAGACATCATCACCAGGTTTGCTGTAGATAAAATAATAGACCAAGCAGCCAAATGTCTGCACTTTCACAAAGATTTATATTTCCATAAAAAACAAGAGACCAATTTCATGGTCAACTAAAAAAAACATATTGTTGCATTATTACATGTATGACACATCTAAGTTTGGAAGGATACAAGTACAGGTTGAACCTTTGGCTGTTTGCAATTTTAGGGTGAACCTAAGGGACGGTGGCCGAATCATCTCTCCACGCAGATTTCCAATAGCATACAAAACTTCGTGGAAGTAACGAATACTTGTTTCCACATATCTTAGTACTATAAAACTTAGACCACTTGTTGGTTTTGAATGATTCACAAGGTTCAGATTTCGAACACTTCAACCAGTAGCGATCTTTCAGAACAACAGCAAGCATACATGGGACAAGAGTCTGAATCTTGGAGGGTAGCAAGTAGCTTATATGTATTCATTCATTCTTCAAAAAAGGAGGAGAACAGGCATGTTTACTTGATTGAAAGAATATCAGGGCTAGGGTCTCCGTCTTGAAATAAGAAAGAGTTTCTAATGCTATCTTTTTACATAAACTAGATATATATTCCTCAGTGTATCCCTTTCTTTCGATTTCATTCAAGATTGAAAGTAAACAACAAAAGGACAGAATTTGCAGCTCGGAACTAATCCCAACCTAGAGCATAGCATATAGCATAGACAGATACAGAAGAAGCTGGGTTACCTTGCTGCCCTGGATGGAGTAGCCTCCGATCCTTTGCGTTGCTGGTACAGAAGGCGGCCTGGAAAGGAGAAAGGAGATGTCAGTCGAGGAGGATCTGGGCGGCCGGCGGGGAAAACAAACAAAGCAGCGGCAAGGCGGCGTAGATCCGGCCATAAGATTCAAAACCACATCCGCCGATTGACTGGCGCGCGACCAAAATCGATGGCGGATCCGGCCGGAGAAGGATCCGGTGCGGTGCGTGTAGACTCACCCGAGACGGAACGGAGGGAGGTCGCCGGAGGGGAACGATTCCTTGGCCCGAGGAGGTGTAGAGGACGAGATCCTGGAGGCGAGGGCGAGGGGAAGCGCGTGGGTTGTGGTCGACGGATGGAGGCGCCGTGCGCGAGTAACCCTAGCGCTAGGTCTCGGTTCGGATCGGTCGGGCCAGGCTGCGGTGCTACTTGGATTTGGGCTTGCGGCGTATCAGGCAGGCCCAACCAGGCACACCCTGCCTGCTCGGTGACGTGGCCTGTGGGGGGCTGAACCCAGCTGGCAGTGGCCAAGTATTTTGCTTGCTTCTACGACAAGTTTGAGTGGATGCTTTTTTCTTTCTTTCTTTTTGATGAAAAGAGAAATGTATGCCCTTTTCCCTGCGGGTTCCAGTGAAAAGCTACGAAATTTAGAAGTGAAGAGGGAGCACGTACTGACGTGTGGGGATCCTATGTAGGGCCCACATTGTAGTAGCATACAACACACCCCCATGGTGATATCACACAAGGTGGCGGATGCGTAATGCGATTGAAGTGGGCTGGTCTCTTCTTCTTCCCCTCTCTCTTTTTTTTTCCTCCTCCACCTCTTCTTCTCCTCATCCTCCCCATATTTCCATTGATGCACCAAATTGTAGGGTTGAGCCTCCCCAGCCCCCCTGAGATCTCGCCCTCATTGCTATCGCGATCGGCAGTGCTTGTTGCATTGGATGTTGCTGTGGCATCACCACTTAGTAAGCACCGTCAAAATCAAGCAGCCATGAAACAGTGTTTTTCTCTCACAACATTTCAGCATATGCTTAATTTCAGTTTTAGCGAACAGGGTGATTGCTACTTTGTTGGGGGTTGAGGAGGAGGAGGAGTGGGCTAGGTTATGCTTTGAGATGGGCAGGTCATTTTATGTAGGAGGGTGTTAGGGACTATTCCATAAACATCACCATATAGCAGCTCCACAAAAATCTGCAGTTTGCAGAGCACCTCCTCTACTCTTTTTTCTCAAACAGAGTGCGTGGAGTTGAAATCGTTTGGCGGAAAAACGCAGAGCGGAGCAGTCCCAAACACCCATGTAATGCCACTAAATGCACTAGTCTAATCGAGAATTTGAGAGTAGTACGAAACAATATGCAGCCTGTTCGTTTGACTGTGGCTTGTCGTAAACGATCGTAAATTTCCAAATTTAATGTGATTTTTTCTCTCACACAAATCACCAAAGAAGATTTTTCACGAACTAGCAACGAAATGAACCAACCAACCGAACATGCTGATGAGCTACTCTACTATGATGGACTACGTTTAAAAAATTTATGGGTTTACGGGTCTATGTACTGGACCCCAAAACCAGGTGCCACAAAACCATATGGTCTGACTTTTTGTCCATTAGCAAACCCACGGATAAAGAATTTGACATATTCTATACTCTAATATAGTAAAAATCCATTGGATTTTAGGTCTTAGGTACCTGTTCCCATGACACTGGACAATGAGATACTAGCGTACTCTCTGTTCGAAAATAAATACATATTGGAGTCAAACAATCTTAAGTTTAGTTTAAAAAACAATCTTAATTTGTATCTCTAAATAGGATTAGTATGAAAAATATATGTGATTAACCTAATGATGATTATTTGATATTGTAGACTATAGTATTTTTTATATAAATTTGGTCAAAAGTTTATAGAGGGACGGAGGGAGTACCGGGCAGTGCATGGCTCCGGTCAAAAATCAAATGGTTTTGCTGAAAATTATAGAAAACTTTCAGTCATCTTAATGGGCCACATGATGTCAACACGGCCACATTTCACAGTCGATCTGCCCAATTCCCCGCTATTAACAAACGACACGTAGGACCAGAAAAGTGGCCCAGCCCAAATAATACGAATTGTTTTGTCAAATACGGCGACTAAACGTTTGGCACCACGAAACTTTTCACATTCTCAACAGAATCACTGCTAAATAATATGAACGTTTTGAATTCTCAGAGAAATAGTTAGAACCGATTCTTATTTTTGTACCAGTAGCAAAGATAACACAGGAAGTGCTAGCGCGGTCCTTTGTTCCCCATGCGCCTCAGACTCCACGCCTCATTGCGTCTCAAGCTTTCAAGACGTCCACGTGGGGACCGCTTTCGTGCCCCCTTCACTCGAAATATTCAGATGCAATACTTTGCAACATACATCCAAGACGATAAAACATGCGTCTAAAACACTTTAAATCATTGCAAACATACGCAACATTCGGATAAAACACTTGCAACATATGTGTGAAACATATGCAACATCCAAATAAATACACTTACAACATGCGTCTGGAAAAAAACAGATGAAACATTGAGAACATGCAACATTCCGTGTACAACCATTGCAACATATACAACATCCAAATCTACTTGTGCAACATCCATATGAAACACTTGCAACATACCTATGAAACACTTAAAACATATGCCTTCAACATGCTTTTTACCCTTCTTTCAACAACGCAGAAAGCAGAAGCAGGAACGCCTGTTCCGGCTAGTCGACGACCGAGGATGGTGGAACGGCTTAGCAAAGGGCTGGCCACGGCCGGTCTGTCTTACTAACGGAGGTCGCCTCTCCCAACCTCCTAGCCACACACGGCGCATCGACGCTTGCAAGTAGAGATGGAGGATGGAGAGGAGGAAGGCAACAAGGCGCTTTCGGATGAAGTGGAGATGGAGGATGGAGACTGCCGGTTGGGCGAACGTGGTGGAGAACGTCGTAGGCGGTCACGCGGTGCGGAAGGGGGCGGGCGGATGAGCTAAGTGGGGATTCTTTTAGAGAGAGCAGGGCCGGTTCTGCGCAGATCTATCTCGAGAGCCGTTTGATGGGAGTCACGGACGGACGCTCGTGGCGATCATTACAAGATAAACGGCATGGCATGTTTAAAAGGGGCCTTTAAAAAGGAATCATTTGCAGGCACGTTTTATTTCTACAGATACTGTTTTGCACCCTACGCTCTTTGTGCCGTTTTGGGGTGACCTGCAGCTGCACCTGCACTTGTCGTACTGGTAATGAGATAGCGACTTTGCCACGACACGATTTCACTTATGACGTTGATAACGGCGATTGGCCGCTTAATAAGGCGTGTGATGCTATCTCATTTATCTGTTTCTTTTTAAGCTCGATGCCAGTATTACCGGCGAGCGAAGGGGTATCAATCAATCAGTCAATAATTTCAATGGCGCGACCGCATCCTTAGTTCATTCATTACACGCTCACCCCCTTTAGAAATTATTATCCTCTTCAATGCAGTAATTTTTAGAGGACCCATAAAACATTCAGACCAATCATATTCACCTATCCTCTCCCCTGTTCCTCCAGATCACGTGCAGGCGGATGTCCCCGTGGCTCGGCCACGTAACCTCCCAAAAGCGGCACGGCGACGGCGGTAGACTTGGGGAGCATGAGGCTGATGACGTGTCCTTAATGATGGCCTTGCGCAGGCGGTGGAGGAGCCTCTCCGGGTCCACGGGTAAGGATGAAAACGGATCGGATACGAACGGATATCACTCATATTATATTTGTTTTCATATTTCTGTTCGGATTCGGATTCGGACACGGATAGCGTTCGGATACATATACGAATACGGATTGACTCGGTTACGGATACGAATAATGAGTATCGAATACGGTATGAATCGGATTCGGAGAAGGTCGGATACAAATATCTATTCGGATATTGAGTAAAAGCAGCATATATATATATATATATATATATATATATATATATATATATATATATCATACGTGCGCAAACCATTACACCACTCTATGAGTCCATAATCCATCTAGATTAAGCCGAAAGACTAAAGAGTAAAGCAACAAATAAGATAAAGATACAGATACGTCATACATCAAACATCATATAAGCACCAATCTTCGCGGCATGAGTAGAAATAGCCAAGCACATTGCTTCATGGGTCTCATGGAGTCATGGTCATGGATTCAAGATCTACAATCCTTATATATGCCATTTTTTTCATTTTAAGAAAGTTTGAACAAAATGTAGTTCAAATTTCACAAGTGTGTGACATAGTTTTAGAAAGTCTGTATGAGATTTAAGAATTTGTGACTAGTGTTTGATAAAACTTTCTCAAATGGGAAAATGAGCTATGTAACAATTGTATATCTTGCTGAGATGATCAAACTTGGTATTCAGAGTTTTTTCATCTGAGATCATTTAGTGTCTCATTTGAGCAAGTTTGACCAAGTCAAATTTGGTCAAATGAAAAAACAACACTTTGACTCTAGTATTATGAACTCTAAATGACTTCAAATTGAAAAGTTTTGAATACCAAGTTTGTTCAACTCATCAAGATCTACAATTCTTGTTTTGGTCAACTTTCCATTTGAGATAGTTTGGACGGTTCAAATTTGTGATTTTTAAATTTCGATGCTTACAAACTAGTTTTCGGAACCCTAGATTGTCTCAAATTGAAAAGTTTTGAATACCAAGTTTGTTCAGCTCATCAAGATCTACAATCCTTATATAGGCTATTTTTTCATTTGAGAAAGTTTGAATAAAATGTAGTTCAAATTTCACAAGTGTGTGACATAGTTTCAGAAAGTCTATATGAGATTCAAGAATTTGTGACTAGTGTTTGATAAAACTTTCTCAAATGGGAAAATGAGCTATGTAATAATTGTATATCTTGCTGAGATGATCAAACTTGGTATTCAGAGTTTTTTCATCTGAGGTCATTTAGTGTCTCATTTGAGCAAGTTTGACCAAGTCAAATTTGGTCAAATGAAAAAACAACACTTTGACTCTAGTATTATGAACTCTAAATGACCTC